GACAATGAGCATTACCATGGAAAAGAAATACATTCTTTTTTCTTTTTAAATTTTAAATAACAGTTCAATTTACAGAACTAGTTTACAATGAGAGAAAAGAAAACTATACAGAACTAAATTATATTACAAGATTTAATGATGAAATTTCAGTTCAAAAAACAGAAAATAAATAATAATAAGCCATATTTATTATATTCGCTTGGCACCTTAAAATAAATACAATTTATTTTTCCACTTATATTAATATTTAAATAATTTAACTTAAATCATAATTCTGAACATTTTCTAAATTTTCATTGTATAACAAAAAAGAGGAACTTTTCTGAAATCAGAAAACCGGAAATTGCTTTAGCAATAAAAGCTTAACTAACCGGCATACTCGGAAATTGCCGAACATCTGAAAATTCTGAATAGCCGAGCATAACTAAGTGGAAGGTTGCGGGGGTAGATTGTAGCCCTTTTTTAGATTTTCCGCTAAATAATGCTTTTGACATTTCAATATGTGCATCATATAAAAAATAGTCCAATGGAACTGAAAAATAATCTGCTTAGGAAGCACAGCAAAACTCTTTTATCTCTGCGAAATATCACAAACGTTACTATGCAATACATGCGCTTTAATTCTTCCGCATGTGATATTATATTATGCAATCGCAATCAACAGCTGCCAGTATTTGGAGAATAAATAACTAAATTAAAGGAAAATGCCCCTTTAATTTAACGTCTGCTTCATCTGGGGTTTTCACTGTCAAGTACCCATATGGCATATTTATCATTGAGCAGGACACACTGTGCTTAGCACGATATCCCTGCCATTAAAGAGATTTACCAATCTGGGGTGTTTTTCATTTTAATTTTGAACAGACTGTGTTCAATTCCCAAAATAGAATCATTCTTCGCTTGGGTTGGTAGGCCACAGAGCTTATAGTCCTATTCAACCCAGATTGAAAAGTGACAACAACAACAAAAAAAAAAAAGTCTGTTGCTTCCTTTGCTGCGAACTGTAACGGTTTCAATATTTGAGGTTTTGTGGAGAAAGGGGAAAATCCCCAACTTCCGTACTGTATAATGCATTGCCCCGCCCCCCAAAAAGAAATTATTTTGACTATTCGATTACTGTCACTTTATTTATGCCTTTCCGAATATTATTCCTTATACAACTATTCTGTGTTGAAACACACTTACCCATTTTTGAAGTTTATCTATACTTCAGCAGTTACTGCAAATATATTATAAATGTTTACATATCCTCATAATACAAGCATACCGATCATAATAAACGCGAATATAAACTGACCACGCAGAGCGAGAATGTAAATTATTAAAATCTTGATATAAATTCAAACATGTGTAGAACGTGTGGGTGCAAAAGAATACGGAATGTAGCGGAATTTTCTACCGCTTTTGCAATTCTTAGACCAATAGAACGACGTGCACCTGTCTGTACTCGTGTGCACCAAAGGTTATGTTAATGCAGAGAAAGGGCAAAAAGCTATTTCTGGGAGTATGATTCACCATCTGACGTTCCATATAAGGAAGAAAAGTTGTTTATTTAATTTCGGCTTTGGTACGGGGAAAAAAATGAAACAAAAAAAAAAAAAAAAAAAAAGAGCAGTAAAAGCAAAAAATAAGCACTAAAAACCCCCCCCCCCAAAAAAAAACACCAAAAAAAGTCTTTTAGAGAAAAAGTACACACCTATAAGGGTTTTTATATTTTATTTTCAAATATAAGGACTTATAAGCACTTGTAAGGACCACTATGAACCCTGACTTTTTAAGGGAAACTGGCTTGCATGCGTGGGGAAAACTCACAAAAATGATCATGCAGCAAGCCTGTTCACCAGGATTTGAACCCCGGACAAAACTACCAGTGTTCAGCAACTTTATCACTTGGCCATCCATAGACATACAAGGGGAGAACAACGGTTCAAAACAGAAGGATTTCTAAAGAGGTAAGTATTTTATCAAAGATGGTACTGGCTTCTTTAATTTTATTGATTGTTTGCTCTTGGATCAAATTCCTAGTATGCTGCCATTTTTAAAATGCCCATAGTCTTCTGCACATTAGCTTGATGAAAAATTAATTACCAATGAGCTTACAAATCAACGAGTTCATGACTTTTCAGTGGGGGTTACGAACAATGAAAGTACCAGATGATGATGATGATGATGGAAGTACCACATGGAGATGTGTTATTCAGGAAAAGGGTACAAACAATAATGCTATACAATTTATTGTTTAAAATTAAGGTGAAATTGACAATGGGAAGCAAAGTTAATAATTCCCTGTAATATTAAATGTAATTAACACAATTTTATAAAAACCAGAATTATTAACTTCTATAATTAAGACACAATAACACGCCGAATAAATACTAATTCAGAAGTCAAACAACAAAAATCAGCGTTAATTTACAAAATTTTCACAGGACTAGTTTCGATGGTTTTACCGAACCATCATCTTCAGCTGCAAAACCGCAAATGAACAAGATAGGAAATAATGTTTAGATACGATAAGAAAGCCTGGACAAGAATAAGCAAGTGGCGCCATCTGTTGGCGAAACCAGAACTAAAACATAATTTCTCTAAAAGTCGAAGGCAAATTTCGATTGGAATTAGGATCGTTAACTAGAACAGAAAGATTTTTATGAATGTGAAATGCCTCTAGAAAATCCAGTTCTCCAATGGAAGATATTTTTTGAATAATTTTGGCAGCAGAAAAATTGAAAGTGTGATTTTCGGACCAACAATGTTGAGCAACAGAAGACTTCTGTGTTTCCTTTTTTCTAACATATGCCTCATGTTCTTTGACGCGAAATTTTAAGGCTCTCTTAGTTTGGCCAATGTAAATTAAACCGCACTGGCAAGGAATCCTATAAATACCCCAGGAATTCATATCCGGAATGGGGTCCTTGAGTATAGAAGTTGGAATTTTATTGATGGGAGAGTAAACAACCCGAAAGTTAAATTTCTGCAAAATATGTGCAACTTTATAGCTAATTGATGGAAAGAAGGGAATGACAACAGAATTTTTATAATCTCCTAAAATAAGAGTGTGGCTTTTAGTGTGTTTGAGATGAGAATTTTTTAACTGCTTGATTAATAATGTTGGGTGAAAAGCCCCTGTCAATAGCTATTGCTTTTAAATAATTTAGTTCTTCATCAAGGGCTAGTTTGGAGGAGCAAACTTGAAGAGCACGGAAAACATAGGAATAAAATGAAGCTAACTTTTGTTTAGTCGGATGACATGATTTAAAGTGTGGTGGAAGGCAAACCGATGAAGGTTTACGGTAAACTGTAGTACTGAAGTTGGATGTGTTACGTGTGACCAGAATGTCGAGAAACGGAAGAGAATTGCAAGTCTCAAGTTCAAAAGTGAACTGAATAGCAGGATCAATAGAATTCATTGTTGAAAGAACTCTATTGAAATCATCTTTATTACCTTCAAACAGGGTCAAAGTATCATCTACGTAGCGGAACCATGCCGGGAAGTTTAAAGTTTCAAACAATTTTGATTCATAATAATGCATGTAGATATCAGCCAGGATGGGACTGAGGGGGCTTCCCATGGCTAATCCCTCAGTTTGCTTGTAATATTTATTTTGGAAAACAAAATGTGTTTGTTTCAAACAGAGTTGAGTGAGAGAAATTAGCTCATCAATTTCGATGCAAGAGAAATGAAATTCGTGAAGTCTGGTTTCTAGACATCTTAATGCACCCTCCACTGGGACATTGGTGAATAATGATTTTACATCAAAAGAAACCATGAGTAAATTACGAGGAGAAATATTTTTAACCTTTTTTACAAACTCTATTGAATTTTGTATGGTGTAAATGTTATTGTCTAATAGAGTGGAAAATCTAGAAACTAAATATTTAGCTAATGGATACGAGGCAGTACCTAAATTTGATACAATAGGGCGGAAAGGAATACCACTTTTATGAACTTCTGAATTATTAACTTCTTTCGGTAAATGTGACCCTCATAATCTTTCCTTTTTTTTTTTTTTTTTTTTTTTTTTTTTTTGTGATTCATCTGAAAATGTTTGCATCTTTTAGTGAGAGTTCTCCCCGACTGTTTATAGCACACTGCAAACATAACAAACTTTCAGTCCTCTAGGTTCAACTGTACTTCCATGTACATTTACTGTTTTTTATTTCTTTTTAAACCATGAGTTTGATATCTTAGCCACTACATGTAACATACCGAGATACTTCCAAATGTTCTTTGCTACCAATTCCTTAGTCTCATTTTATGATTCAAATATACTTACAAATTATTATCTCTTTTTACTCACATGTAAATGAACAGCAGAATTAATGTGCTTTTAATGTCTTGATTGCTTCTTGTTTCATTGGTGGAAGCAGACAGGTAACATATGGATGCTAAAGAAAAATTCCACTTTCGGATCAAAATCCAAAATTCCAGATGAATGGGAAGAAGCATTATTTGATCTCAAGCATTCTAAATCCTACTGTTTTTCAATATCAACTACATTTACATGCAAGGTAAACAAATAAATAATTTGGTATTTATTTACCCTACATTTTTCTTCAAAAAATGAAAATTAAAAAATGTTTAAACAAAGATATATAAACAAATGCTGAAGTTAAATAATTATACTAAAAATATACTTTAATTTTTTAACTAATATAAAACGTCTGGTATTGTAATTAGCTTAGTAAAAGCTGAAGTAGCTAGTAGCTTAGTAAAAGCTTTTAAGAGCTTTAATTCACTTTATAAATTAGAATATACACATTTTTGTTCATAAAAAATAAAGGTTATGTTTTTTCAATACTGCTGTCAAAGTTACTGCACAATTTAGAAAAATGACAAAATATTCTATAGTTTATACACAAGTCTTATTTTTACAGTTGTACGAAGCAATTTATAATGATGTAACTTACATTTAGGCCAAACAATCTGAGGACTAACTTAAATTTCAATATCTACCAAAAATATTATAATAAAGTTAATGGAAAAATAAAATAAAACTTACTTCACAAAAACACACACCATCATAACAATCACCATGGCCTGAACACCCATTGGTACAAGTTACATTGAAATTAGCCATTGTAGTCCACATAAGAGAAAGAGAAACAACTGAAGAAACTTCATCAGGAGGCTGAGTACAATTAGACATTATTAGTTGTCAGACTGCTATTTTCTCTCGTACTTCTTCAGTCTAACATTGAGAATTTCCTACAATACATGAAAGAAATATTATTTCAGAACATTTCAATACAAAATGCCCAAAATCCTTAAATATTCAAACCATGTTCTTATGTGTACTTAAAAATAAACAAAGACAACTGAAAAGCCTTATAACTAAAATGCAGGAAAATGCAGTATTAAATTTCTGAGCAAAAATGGCTCTATTGATCTACCTGTCAGGTGCTATATTTACACTGCACGTATTTCTATGATTTATACAAGGATTACTTTACTGTTTATTTTTATAACCTGATTACATATTGCTCATTTCATGATAATGAAGATAATTTTCAGATCATTAACTTTTTGAAAGCAAATGAACAGGAGTCCTGACCTGAACCAAACAGGGTAAATTTTACTCTAAACATTATCCATACACAAATACAGTACAAAATCCGGAACATGGATGTCCAATATCTGGAATGGTCTAACCACCAGATTTCCAGACTGTTATTTAAGAGTTCTTTTCCCTTATAAAGTTTAGGAATGGAATATAACAGTCAAAAAAAGAGAGAGTGCCAAAAAATTAGTATTCTGCCAAGTGAGATTCCTATATGCCACTTTCAAACACCCGCTAGCTAAGAGAATTGTAACACTGTCAATGAGAACACATTGACTGATGTTTTACTGGCACACGCCATGACCATCCATCCTTTCAGCTTCTGAGTGGTTGTAGTGGGTTGTGTTGTGGGTAGTATTAAGCGCTTTCATATCTGACCTGAACAATAAGTGAAGCCTCAAGAGATATTTGTTTGCAGTGGGACATACTTTCCTCTACTGGTTTAGAAGCAAGCAAGGGAGAAAGAATTAAGATTCTGAGGAAAAAATCTGATCTGAGTTGTTTTTACACAGCAAACTAAACTCTTCCTTAACTATCTATTTTGATACAACTTACCATTTTTGCAGGCAATAACTATTGCCACTGTCTTTAAAATTATAGTTTGAAATTTCAATCATATTGAAAAGAATTTCTAAATCTGGAAGTGCTGCAGGATGCAGACAAGGAAAGCATATTTTGATGTCAACCAAGCAATAATTGGAACAGCTAAGGGGGGGGGAGAATTTGAAAGCGTTCAGATTTTATATTATGCCCAAAGAGGTGTTTTTAAACGTTCTGCGTGTTAACTATTATTATTGTATTTACTTATTAAATATCATTACTTATTAAATTTACTTATTAAATATCATGTTCTTCACACTTAAACCATAAAATTCAATTCAACAGCAACAAAATTAATAGCCTTTCTGGGCAAATTGCCTCTTTGGGCTTAAAAAAAAAAAAAAAAAAAAAAAAAAAATGGATAAAGACATATCCTTTTCAAAACTATGTGAGTATTACTGGAAAAACAGAAAAAAGAACATTTTGAATTTTTTATGGATTCTAACACTCTACTCACAATGAACAGGAAAAAAAAAATAAATAAAAGTGATGATCATGACAAAGTGGTAATAGAAAGGATGAGACAGTCACAGCCACAGCATGTCATTGATGGGTCCACTGCTAATGACTCAAGACAAAATACTTCATAAGGAAATGAACTTAAAAATTGAGTGCACATATTTGACAAATAGGTTAACTAAATTTTAAAATCACCAATATTACTTTTTTTATACATGTATTTTCAGTCATCAATTCTTATCTCTTGGACACATAAAAAATCTCTGAACCAGCTTAGCTTGGTTTGGAGGCATTTAGGGAAGAGCTTCTCTAAAATGTGAAATCATTTATGGTAAATCTTAAGTAGTCTCTAATTTCTTTTTCCTTTCCTCATTTGTTTTTCGGTTGATGATTGTTATTAATCCCTTAATACAGTGTCTTCTTTGATTTGTTTTATCTCTTCTTATTTTATTATTCAATATAGTACAAAGTAAAAAATTCAGACCACCAGCCACCCCCACCCAAAAAAAATAAATAAAAAGGAAAGCCATAAAAAGCGATTCCCTCCTCCCAACTGAGATTCCTGCATGTCACTTTCACACATCTGTTGGCTAGAGAATCACACCGTTGTTAGTGACAACTCGCTGACTTCCATCATATTGATATTGGCTGCAATCACAATTTTGGCCCTTGAGTGGTTGTGGGGGCTAGCATTTTTCTATCTGACCTAAACAATAATTGAAGTTCCACATGCCATCTTACTAGATTTAAACTCATAAACTAAAATCTGAAAATTTCCCAAACTCAGAATCACCGAAATACCAGTGATTACGGGTCTCGAACTTTGTACTGTACATTAACTAAGGTTACTTAAGAAGTTTTAAGATATTCAGAGTTCATGACAGTTGATAGATATCATCATATTCCTTTAATTTACATCATACTATACATCACACGTTGCAGACTCGAAAACACTTTCAACCAGATGCCTACGAGATGGGGACACTCACAATCCTGAGAAAGCCCTGTCGCCGAGTAGGAAACTTATGTTTTATAAAAAAAGGGGAGGGGGCAAGATCCAGAGTATACCATAAAAAATTAACATTATGTTTGGGAAATAAAGCCATTTCTTATGTTACATTCTTTAGATGGCTTCCTTGTATCTATGGCATAACTCCTGGGAAAATACCAAATGTGAAAGCCATCCATTTGCCTAAGCAAAAAATGCTGCTTACTGTAGAAACTCCACTGAAGATTACTCATACTCAAATATCCATGAGATGGTCAAGGATAATCATAATCCTGTTAAAGCCATGTCACTGAATAGGAAACCCTTTCAGACATTAATGTTATATAGTTTTTAAAAAAGATAGCTACAAAAATTTTAATTATGTTTGCAGTATAAAACCCCTTCCTTTATTATGATATTTAGATGGTTCACTTATTTTAAAGTGGAGATCTGGGAAGATGGCAAACATGAAGGCTATCCATTCACTTTAACAACCTCCCCCCCCAAAAAAAATTGAAAATCTTGAGACTGAAGATTATTTTTTCAACAATGTGCATATTGAGGATGACCTACGGACCAGATCGAGAATCATAAACTCAGGCTTAGACTGATCCTCCAAGTAGGCATCCTATCTTCTCGATTACAAGGAAAAATTCAATGACTGATGCAAATTTACATTAAAAAACACAATAATGGCCAAACTTGTTGTACAGTACAAAGTCCGAGATCTGGATTGATCTAAAATCTGGACCTCAGAAACACCAAAAACTTTTTTTGTAATGCTTTATGCATGCACATTTGATTTTCCCCCCCCCTCTTAATAAATCATAAGGAGAGTCCCGATTCTTAATTTCACTTCAGCACTGAAAAAATACCTTGTTATTGAAAAAACAATCACGAATTTGTGAATAAAGCAACTTAAAACAATCATAATTTTTAGCATAAATTTGTGTGATCAGTAATTTGGCTCTGTAGCTGCATATCTGCTTGGCATACATCTCAAACTGAAACATTCTATATAGAAACATCCTGGATTTTAACCTAATAATGTTTTATATCCCCGACACCAAACCTGGCAAATCATTATTTATTACATTTTGCTTTTATCACCTCATGTTTATCAACTCGTGACAACTTGAGTAATAACTCGCTCAACTATGTCTAAACATTTTTTTATATCAGTAATTGAATAACAAAGAATATAGTAACTTTTCATGTTGACATTACGCTTGGCGATGATTACAGAGTTAAGTTAAATGTGCTAAGAAATGTTGACAAGAAAAAATTTAACAAAAACTTCTGCAGCCCGGTGCAGATGGCCATACTGGGCTGCAGAATTTAGGGAGGAGATTTTTTTTTTTTTTTTTTTTAAATTTAGAAGCATCAAACAACAAAATTAAAGGACGGCAAATTTTTAGAATTTAGGGAAAGCACTGGGACACAAAATTTAGGGGTAGAAAAATTTAGAACTTAGGAAGGCTTAGGACCCAAAGAGACTGTATCAAGCAATAAGATATCTACTGCCGGCCCTCGATGAGTGAGATATATAATAAGCAGGCTTAGTGATGAAAACAAGACTAAAGTTAGCGGAACAATTTGTCTTTTGTCGCCAATCTCATGATACATAGCCCCTATTGTATACAGAATGTTATTAAGTTAGGCTGAAAATATACTTTACTGATTCCAAGAAATTTTAGTTAATATAGCAGATTGCACTGTTCCTTAACCGTTTGACGGGCAGTGAAGTGTCACACGTCCCACATTTTTTATCTCCCAGATGTAAGCTGCAAAATTCCATTTAAAATACATACAATTATGCCTTTTAGTTTTCTAACTGTATAACAGATGACCACACAAGTATTCTTTCATGGAAATGATGTAAAACAAAAATTCTTTGCAGGTCTAATTTTGAAGCATTTTTTTTCTCTTAATGTCTCATGCAAAGAATATTTTTAACTGAAAGTTACCTTTTCTAATAAAAATTATTATTTGAATTCATATATAATGGTTGAAATTAAAAGGTGGGGAAAATACGTCCCACAGTGCATGTAGGAAAGGCTGCTACTAGATGGCAGCACCATTCAAATATTTTAATTCAAGTATGTTCATTTCATATATAGATAATGCAAATTTATATTTTTTAATAAATTGCAGTAATGTTAAAACTTGAAAAAGATTTACTACTTTTTCCGAAAGAAATGAAAATATAAACCTGTACAGTACAAAGTCCGAAATCCAGATGCCCATTATCTGGAATGATCTAAAATTTGAACCTCAAAACCACCAACGTTTTTTCGTAGGCTTTATGCATGCGCATTTGATTCTCCCCTCCATGCTTGATAAAACATCTGGAGAGTCCCGATTCCAAATTTCACTTTGACATTAAATACCTTGTTAGTGAAGAAACAATTTTAGCATAAATTTGTATGATCAGTAATTTGTCTCAGTTGCTGCATATCTGCTTGGCACTCATCTCAAACCGAAACATTCTACATAGATAAATCGTTGATCTGACAACAACCTGGTGAATCATTGGTTAATCTTTGGATTATGGTAACTTGGCGATTTTTTGGCGACCAACCCTGTTACAGCAACCT